GTCAGTCATTAAAAAGAGCTTCCATATCTTGTGTGTCTCAGCATTTGCAACACCAATCTTTTGAACTTTGCTGAATCGCTTCCATACTGTTCTGAAAAGTCCTGATCAGCACATTGCACAAAGACACTAACAGGTTTCTTATTTGACCCGACGAGACCACACGACGCTTGCAGACCACAGCATGAACAGTTCACCAGCCACACTCCACGGATGAGTTCCCCGCCATCTTTTTGGAACGAAACAAGACTTTGAAGAAGGGCTGAGGCTTCCTGCAGCTTCATCTGTGAAAGGAATTCGGGTGGATACACCCATTCCCATAACGCTGCACATCCGAACCAGTTCCGTTATTTTTACAACGTTTCGGAACTTGGGCATCGTCAGGTAATAACAATGACCTGACGATAGCCAAGTGCCGAAACGTTGTAAAAATAACGGAACTGGTTCGGATGTGCAGCGCTGTGGGAATGGGTGTGTCCACCCGAATTCCTTTCACGAAACAAGACTTGTCATGAGTAATACTGCTTTCGTGGAGTGTGGCTGGTGAACTGTTCATGCTGTGCTCTGCAAGCGTCGTGTGGTCTCGTCCGGTCAAATAAGACCCTATTACCGTACTATTCGATGGACCTCTGGAAGATGGCAACAAAGAATTAAAGACAATAGCATGAGTTGCTGATAGTTTTGCTGTTGCTACTCTTTCATATCACTCTACTTATCTTTATCCCCATGGTTGGCTAACACCCACTCTCCCAACATTCTCCTCTGTTTCCACTGAGTCTAGAAATGAAGTAGTAATATTTATACCTCTACTTACTAGTATATGGCTCTCACAGGACATTCCGGTCGGTCGGGTTAGCAGACATTACCGTAATGAGATCACGTGATGAAATGGTGACCTGCTACGAAGCTATGCATAAGCTATAAACTACTCCAGCGGCAAGTTTTACTGCATCCCATGGAGCGCCTTTGCAAACTCTGCCTATCACTCCACGGTTGCGAGTCATATCGTGGTGAACGTTTTCAAGTGAATGATCAAACGTTTCTGTCATCAGGACCATCATAATGAAGATGAAATGTGAAATTAGAGACTACAAGACTACATGACTATATATAGGGGAAGTTCTCTACTGGTGTGATTTACACAAACAGAAATAACCTACAGCTACAAAATTCACACCTCACCACAGAACATCGGTAGGATGTGCGAGAATTGTCTGCTACTCAAGACAATGTGACAATAGTGGAAATATCACAGAAGTACTGTAACAATAACTTATGCTGATTGTGTCGCTACAAGAGTGTTATCTTTTTTCAGGTTATGTTTGTTTGGTAGTTGTCCCCAGCAGTACAAATCTAGTAGGATTTACGAATACATTTTCAACACCTGTCTGCCTCAGTAACAAGTATGCGTATGTATGTGAAAGCTGAGACTACCGTTGGTAACGGGTCATTTGCGTGTTGAAGACGATACTGTTCACCCAGTACCTTTCCTGCCACCTCGTTGAGACTGACATTCATACATAGCTGATTGCTACATCAGATAGCGCTAGATGATATACCAACCAGCTATGTCCGTTATTCCTAGCTATGCAATGACCTGTCTGTTTGTGTGTGTAGCATGCAGCATTAACTATATAGAGACAGTTGTAAATCTTGCAGCAGAAGCGCAGGATGTGATGATTTCCAAAACAATCAGTTTCAGAAAGAAAAACGTTGTTCATTTCCTCTATCTTTGTACTCATGATCTGTTTGTTGTGGATGTCAAGTGTACATCACATTTAGTGTTCACTACTCTCCAGTGTATATAGTGGAGAGTTGTACTGGGAAGACATCTGTTACATTTCCAGTATCTACAGTACATGTATGATCATTAGTCACGGCAAGAGCAGCAGTGCCACCATCAAGTCATCTCCACTACCCTGATACCTGCCAACACACACCACATAGATTGCTACAAAGTAGCAGGCATCATCAGGGAGAATGGATTAGGCTAGTTTGGACACATAGCACAAATGTATGACAAGCGTATGTCAAAGTCTGGTATGTTTGGACAGCTCCTTGAAATGCGTTCTCAGCATGGTCCCCGCAGGCGATGGTGTGATGTGGATGGTGAATGATATGCAATCCCTTAGTCAGTCCCTGTTCTCCGTTGACTGCTGCTATACTGGTGTCCAGGTTGGTTTTGTTTACACACACGTTGCTCATGGTCGTAGTCACACTGGACCTACTCCACGTCGAGATCGATCAAGGTTTACACTGTACAACACACAAGGTCTGTAGTCAATACGGACATCTCAACCATCACACACCATACTGAAAAGTACTTCGAAGTAGGTAAATACATCATGTAGTCCCGTCTCTAACATTCACTGGGTTGATGTACACAGCTTGGATCTGAACAACGAACTGTGGTAACATGTAGTTCTGATCAATACTACCCTCGAACAACACTACTTCATTCATTCACTGCTGATTTCTCTGCTCTTTCGATTTGTTCGCTCCTCCGTGCTCATTTGACAACATGTATCTGATGCATGTTGTTGGTGTTGAGGTGTCCGGGCCCATTCATAATAATACGCGAATGACTGTTGGGACATACTTCCAAAACATGACGTCACAGAATTCGTAAAAAAAGACAACTTTTGGCTAGCCTGTCGCAAGCGCGAGACTCATCATGGGCGCGCTCGAGCTGCAGCAAATGCGAAGCGCGATACACGCGCGAGCGCGACCCAAACTGTGTCACGCGCGTGTGTGTCGAATCTGGCCGTCATGATCGCCTTCGATTATTTATTTTCGTTCTACTCGACAATTCCAAAAATCAGTGCCATTCATTGGCTTTAGCTTTGCCCTTGAACTTGAAATCTCGTGCCTTATTCTTTCTTGGGGACTGGTGTTGGATATTGAACGGGCGGAGTGATCGCGGGGATGATGGATGAATTAGATGATGGCCTAATCTTGGCTGCGCGCATTCTCATTTTCGCGTGGCCTGCCACTAGTGTTTGATTCACAAAGGGTGTGACAGGCATAGCTGGAGGAAGAAAGGTGATGTGAAGTTCTGCCATCGCAGCACTGTATAGACGGCCATTAGAGGCTGTGTAGGCTGTATGTAGCGTTGTTTGATTTAGCTCAGTGCTGAGCTTGCACCACACCACAGGTAGCATATTGAGTATTATTTACATTTTCCATATTACTTGAACCGCTCTGTGAACGTGAGCGGTTCAGAAAAACCTTTACTGGCGCTGCCCCGTCGTAAAAGTAAGAAATTAAAACTGGCTCATTGTACCCCCAAATGTGAACTGATCCACCTAAATCGCGAATGACGTGACCCGAACGCAGCAGTAGCATGATGGTGCACTTGTGGTGTGCCGCAGGGCTCTGTACTAGGACCCATGCTGCTCTCCATATACACCAGAGATATCCCCTCGGAATCTGCGCCGGCATCATCACTGCAGTTTGCGGATGACATCGCCCTGACACGTGCAAGACGGACAGCGCAAGAGGTGTCTGATGCGCTCAGCTTGGTGGTTACCTCCCTCTCATGTTGGCTGGACGCTCGCGGTCTTGTATTAGATGCAAAGAAGAGCAATGTATTGGTTTTTACCAGCAGCAGTGGGCAGCAGCCGGACGTGGTTGTACGCTGTCGAAATGATGTCCTTCCGCACACCACCAGCGCGAAATACCTCGGCGTCTTAATCAATGAACGAATGGCCTGGCAACCGCAAGTTGACCGGTGCATCTCACGCACTGCTACTGCTAGGAAGATCGGTAGTCTGTGGCGGGCGCGACGCTGCCTCACTCTAGCTAGTCGAAGCAAGTACTTCCTATCTGTCATCATGCCGGATTTGATATTATGGATCGGCAGCATATGGCTCCGGCTTGACCCACAACCAGCTCTGCCTAGACTGCCTCCCGTTCATTTCTGTGCTCCTGTCTTTATTCTCGTCAGCCGTGTACTTCAGCAGTTCAATTCTGTGCTCCAGTCCTCTTTATTCTCGTGAGCTGTGTACTCGTTTTGCTGTTTTTCTGGTTTATTTGAATTCTCACAGTTAATGTGTAAAATGTGTACTTCAGTTATTCTCTCCTCCCTCTTCTGAGTTTGACACTCCGCTGGCCTTCTCTCCTCCCATCCCCTTACATCGTATTGGGCCTCCGCACACACTACATTGTCACATAGCACAACTCAACCATTCGCTACCCTGTTATTGAGCACTCCTGCTGCTCATTTGGTCTCGCGAATCCAAATAAAATCAATCAATCAATCAGGTTCCTACCTGTGGATGCAGCTGGGGACGCTGGTCCACAGGCCATGGTCGTCGATGAACTCCCATGTTGGATATCCGATGGAAGTAACTATGTGACTAGCAAAGTTACACTGCCACTGATACCATGTACTAGTGATGGTGTTACCCTATGATGTGCTGTGATCCTGTGCCCTCCTGACCTCGTGCTACTGGTGCCTTCGGGTCCCGTCATTCGCGATTTAGGTGGAGCAGTTCACATTATGGGGGGACAATAGAGAGGTTAAGATGCACGTTATTGCTGACGTGACGCGAAAGTTCAGCTCGCGTTATTTGCTCGCACGTCGAAAAATCAATGCGAGTGACCTGCTGCTCACGTCGAAATTTGGAGTTTTTCGCCAAATTTGACGTGAAATTGCACGTCAAGTCAGAAATAACGTGCATCTTAACCTCTCTAATGGGCCAGTTTTAATTTCTTACTTTTACGACGGGGCAGCGCCAGTAAAGGTTTTTCAGAAGCGCTCACAGAGCGATTTTTATATGGATAATTTCAGTTCTTTTTCCGTTCCCTCCCCACCCCAACCCCGAAGGTAAACATGATGAACACGCGCGTGATGTACTGTATGTAGGCATGAGAGTACGATAACACACTGATACATACCAGCCCTCTCCACCTCGCTTACCCCGCACACAGATACACAAACACACGCATGCACACGGCACACATACGCACATGCACACGACACAAACAGGAAATTCTTCATGTAAAATGCCATGCAAAGCAGTGGCCACCGTACTTCAGGAAGTCAGTTGTGGAACAAAATAATTCAACTACAACGTGTAGACAAGCTAACGGCCAAAGCACAACATAGCAAACATGACATTTGCCCAAGGATTGTAGTTTGCAGACCACGCCATGGAAGCAGCGAATACAGAATGTAATATCATACAAAGTGACAAGCAAAGAAGTGGCCACCATACACCAGAGACTTGCAGAAAGTCACATATCCAACAGATAGAAAAGTGAACAGCAATCTGGTACAGCCCACACAAGACAAAGCTGACCTGATACTTGTCCCAGGATCGCAAGTGGCAGATCCTTTTCGATGCATAACATGCAGGTGTACGTTACACGCATGGACAAAATCTGACCGTGTCGCCAGCATACAATGTCATCACATGTATACCCCACAAGTTACACACATGCACAGTAGAAGCACAATGAAAGCAATGGAAAAGTACGATGTGGTTGCTGAAGCATCTTCGCACTTCAAATTCAGACTTCAATGTGGTCGTCACGAGATGATATACCTGCAAGATACAAGTGATGCAGAAAGAAAGCAGAAGGTCGTGAGGTAGGCTATGAGACACCACAAACGGGTCACCTACAGGTATGTTCAGGGCTAGTGCACTCGCACGCAGAATTATCATAATCGAGCATTTTCCAAACTGAGAAGTGCAAGGAAATCCACTTGCATGCACAGGAGCAATTTTGCCGCTGGTGTGATGCGCAATTCGAGACAATCTGCGATGCTGCGTGCTCACCTCTGATGCCGATTACTTCCTTGCTTAGACCGGCCCGGTCTGCTCTCCCTGCACTCTCTTCTAAATCCTACTTGGAGCAGTAAGGCTGTGTCACTGCTCCTACTGATAACCCAGTTAGGTTGTGGTCATTGTTGTGAAAGCAATATCATCGTCATTGTGGTAATAACATGCGTTTTTGTACAGCGGCTGGCGCTAGAACGTGCAGCAAGCAGCACGCTTGTACTTCGGATTTTACGATTTTTCGAGGGCAATGGCTTCCTTTTTGCTTTGGCTACCTACGAAGTACGACCAACAAATCTATGAGAAGTAATTTTGGAGCTGGAGTACGAGTGGGGTTGTCTGATAAGTGCTAGGAGAACCCTCCTTTGTGGCTGTAGAGCGCTAAAACGTGGCCTGTTGGCCGAAAAATCCGATGTTTTTTCTCCCGGGGGACACCCCCGTTGTGCCACTCCCAACGGCCCTGTGACGCCCCTGTCATTGTAGCTTACCAGCTGTCTTTCTTGGAGATGCAGTAGCAGCTGAGGACTTGCATAAATTCTCTGTTTCAACTGCAACTATTTCCACAATGTTGTCAGGTATTGGTGCGGGCGACACACGCAGATTCTACACACGCAGAAGGAAAGAAACACCATGAACATATACCTGTTACTACATGTACATGTACATGTTGCCACTGTCAAATATTCCACAGGCAGATGGTGGGGATGGAGAGGAGAGCAACATCAGCAACAGCAGAAGCAGCAGCAGCAATAGCTGCACTATTAGCAGCAATAGCAGCAGCAGCAGTACCACACAGCAATTCACCACACCATACCTCAGATTGTATTCCCGGTATGAGCATAAAATGTCCAGTGGCCTTGTCCTCGCGAAACCGGCTTTCATACTCGTTCAACAGAATCTACAGCGCACGTTGCACAGGAGAATTCATACTCATTCAACAGAATATACAGCATACATTGCACAGGAAAATGCTTGTACATTGCAGAGGAGAATACTGGCTTTCATACTCGTTCAACAGAATCTACGGTGTACATTTGACAAGAGAATACAAGGCATAACGATTAAGCAAATCTACGCCAATAGTTATGTATGTCCCTGAAGATAGGCTACTGTAAAACCGGAAAATTTAGGTGGAGATTTATTTTCGGTAACTTCGGTTTTACCCACACATCACACACGACAACTTACCTCCACGGTCGACATGAGCTCCCCAGGATCCCCCAGCTCCTCGGGACACGCCCTCACCATCGTCGTGGAAACGTTCAGCTCGACCAGCAGCCGTCGCAAGCCATCAATCTCATACGAGCTGAGACAGGCCATGTCCGAGAGCAGGCAGGATGGCGGTGATGGAGGTGGCTTGCCGCCTTGAGCTGTTCCCATCTCCTGGCGAAGCAGCAGCAGCAGCTGCCGCCGTTGCTGGCGACTGGGCTGCAGTGTCATCCGTTGACAGCAGTGGGATCTCGGCGCATGCGGGCGCAGTAGAGAGCTTCGCTGCGTCCGTATCTGTCAGCGATCAGACAATCAGAATATACAAGCCCATATTTAGGCATAGGATACCTGCCGTGAACAGCATTCAACCGGCAACACCCAACAACAAGAGTACTGTAATTTCACAAATTGTTGGTGTACTTTTTTTTCGGTACGTTTGGTGGGTCTGTTTCATACCTAAAGTTTCAATACACCGAACAAACACTAACACACATAATCCAATAGGGAACTG